GTACAGATAGGCTATGCAGCGGCGGGCCGCAACATTCCACAGGCACAAGCACAGGCGCAGGCGCAGGGAAGATGCAGATACAAGGCGCCTAGAGGAACGAGTACGAACAATGCACCAGGCATGCAGAGGCGGGCGCGCGTCGAGGACGGACAGCAGGTGACAGATGAAACATTGACCATGTAGGTATGTAAGAGTGGGTAGTCTTCTGACACCAAGTCAGGTACGCATCTGCGCAGGGCCCGGCAAGCCCAGTATGACGTTTCTACCCCAGAGCCGGCCTGCTCCTCGCCTTGGCGCCATCTGGGTTAGTCAGCGGCCATCAGTCAGCGGCCAGTCACGTGGTCGGCGCGACAAGTGCCCACATGGCCGACGGTCCTTGTGCCTCGGCTCATGCGCGTCTGCGCTGCTTTGACGTGCGCCGGAAATGACGACGCCCAAAGTCTCAAACAGCCGCTGGCTGCTGCTGCTTTACATCTGATCCTGCTACACTGACCTCCTTTTCACAGAACACAACATAATTCCCAAACAGAAAAAACTACCAGCCACCACCATGGCCACCCTCATCCGCCCCCCGCCCGCCGACCATTCGCAGTCGGCCATTGAGAACGTCCTCGAACTGACGCAGCTGGCCGACATTGATCCCAACATCTTCACAAACACTCGTCCTCTATGGCATCCCCCCGGTGCGCGCGGTATCTTTGGCGGTGCTGCCATTGCCCAGACACTCAGCGCCGCCCAGAAGACGGTTGACCCCGACTTCACTGTGCACTCGATGCACTGCTACTTCATCCTTGCCGGTAACTCAGAGATACCCGTCATATACCATGTAGAAAGGGTGCGCTCGGGAAAGTCGTTCGCAACCAGGACAGTGCAGGCCCGGCAAAGGGGCAACGTCATCTTCACCACGACCATGAGTTTTGTTCGCCAGAACAGTGGAGGCGCCCAAAAGGTCGAGCACATCTACCCCATGCCAGACGTCCCGGCGCCCAAGGAAGGTAGTGACGACTTAAGGACGCCCAACGATGGCCAAAGTCCTTTTCAGACGCAACTGTTGCCCATTGAAAACGGTAAGTGATTTCGCATACCATCCTCTAGCCTGCCCTGGCTCATATCTAGCAGACGACTCCGATAAGCCCCATACCAAAAGATGCCGACAATGGATCAAGGCTCGCGGTAAAATCTCTCCCGCTGGCGGTCATGAAGCCCATCTCTCCGCTATCGCATACATGTCCGATAGCTACTTCATTGGCACCGTCGCACGTGCACACAAGCTCCTGCGCTACTCAAACCAGCGCAAGAGCAGGGCCAGGTCGAGCATCGACGAGGACGTGCTCAAGAAGCTGCTCGAGATGGATGACGCCGAGCTCCAGCGCGAAAGCTCTCTCAATGAATCAGATAAGCAGCGCATACGTGAACTGAGGAAAGCAGAGGACCTGGCAAAGAGCAAAGACGCAAAGCCCGAGATTGGCATGATGGTTAGTCTAGACCATACCATCTACTTCCACAACCCTCGCAGCTTCCGCGCAGACGAATGGATCTTCACCGAGATGGAGACCCCTTGGGCTGGTGATGGCCGTGGTCTCGTTTCCCAGAGAATGTATACCAAGGATGGCACGCTCATCGCCAGCTGCGTCCAAGAGGTAAGTGGCTTACTCCCGTCTGTCATGGTGGACTGTGCTGACATGAACAGGGCGTTATACGATTGAAGCAGAACGAAAGTAAGCTATAGCTGTGACCGTGTGTAGATTGCTCGTATGTCCGTGTACTTTGATTCGATTGACTTTCATGCCGCCGCCTTTCACTTGACCTCGTCGGAGCCGACTCCGCCGTTTGTATTGTTTTAGTAGCTATAGATTTGGAGGTCTGGAACGCCGATACCTCAGGTATACATTTTTAAATGCAAAGTTTCTCATTACAAATAGCAACTTGCACTTGTATAGTAGACGACTTGGCAGAGCAAGTGCATGCAGATGATGCACGCTACATGCAGCCCTAGAAGCCTGCACCTGTGCCGTTCGTCCCTCCCACGTTACAGGCCAGGGTCCAGCTAGCGCAATGCCAGTCTCGGGCTAGCATGTCCCTCACACTCGGATTATCCGAAGCTACCGTCGGCAGTGTACCTCCAACATCCAAGTCGCTGCTAGTTCCTTTGCAGACATCTAACTTGACCAACATTGCTGGCCGTCTACCATGTTGCTGTCATCTGCGCCGCACCTCAACCAAAACTCCTAACACTTAGCCCGCCAAGAGACCACACAAGACATGAACGTCAAGCAAGCGGCATGTCTGAACTGCCGCAAAAGCAAGATCAAATGCAGGCGCGAAGAAGGCGCTTCTGTATGTGAAAGATGCTCGAGCGTAGGCGTCGAGTGCATTATACCCGAGTTCCACATGTACGTCACGTCTCCATACAAATCCATTGCGAAACATGCGCTGACTTGATATACCGGTAATTAGTGGTAGGCAAAAGGGTGTGAAAAAGTGAGTTTTGTTTTCTGGTGTGACTAGCTAAGCTTACAGGTTCCAGCAAACGATCCGGGTTGGAGAAGGCAATCTACCAAGTAGAAGAAGCAATCAAGAAGAGAAAATCAGACGTAGTTGCCAATCAAAGCACGCTACAGCACTTGCAACAGCTTTTGAACGAAGCACAGGGAGACGATGGCCCTAGTCAAGATGCAAAATCACCACCAGTACTAACGGAATCCTCCTACGTGCCAGCAAAAGAAGTTGCTTGTACTTCAAGCGATGATCAGCTTGCCGTTGAAGATGTAGAGAATCCGCTTCAGCTCCTAGCCCGCGCGTCAGACTTGAGAATTGCCACCACGCCACAGTCGTACAATACAAGTGTCGCCAGCCCAGAAGGCAGGTTTACTGGTAGCGAGCAAAGTGCATTCCTCGATGTTCATCACTTCTTCTTACCAATGAAGGCGCATTTGGACCAAGGATCAGGGTTGGATCCAATTGACGTAGGATTGGTTACCAAAGATGAAGCAGAGATGCTCCTCCAATAGTACGTACTGCCAGAAAAATTCCATTCAGTAGCTGACAAGACGCAGTTTCCACAAAAGACTAGCCCACACGCGCTGGGGTCTAGACCCAGTGGTGCATACTCTACCTTTTGTCCGAAACCGCTCAGCCTTTCTATTTACGACATTGCTGGCTGTGACCGCTGTCTTCTTACCAGAAACGTCTGCTTTGGCCAAAAGACTACTTCTTCACCGCAGGTTCCTAGCTGAACAGGTCATTGTTCGAAAGTACAGATCTGTTGAAATCGTCTTGGCATTCATGGTAAGCATACCGTGGATGCCCCCAGGGTCGCATGCAAGTGACGACGACACAAGTCTCTATCTAGCTACGGCATTGTCCATTTCTTTGGATCTCATGCTAGACAAAGTCATCACTCCGTCTACATCCTTTGGTCCGGAGCTCACGAGGCAAATGCCCAAAGCAGAGTGTCTTGACGCAAGAAAAGCACTAGCCATGGATGGTTTCGAGGACGTTGACCCGACTTCCGAATGGGGTCAGCGACTGCTTCGTCGGAGAGAAAGGGTATGGATTGCGCTGTTTGTGCTAGAGCGCGGTGTGTGCCTCGCTCGTGGCCGCAGCTATTGTGTACCAAAGACCTGCTTGATTCAATACAGCGATAAATGGCATAACCACCAGCACTCAGATGCCCAAGACGGTCCACTGGTATCCATGGCAGTATTGCGTCGCGATCTGGACAACCTTTTTGCCGAAGTCCGCACGCGATGCGACAACTATGGCTCGGCCGAAGTAGGTTCCCAGGTTGCGCAGGAAATCGACAAGTCCATTGAGGGCTTCTTCGACAACTGGTCTCAGGCATGGCCTTCAGTTATAAGTGACCCAGAGAGCAAGAGCCTACCCCCTTATGTTGAGATACTCGTCATGCACACACGACTCTCGACCTACTCAATGCTTCTGAACCATCCGAGCGCGCCGCCAGAAGTCAAGCGCTCGTTTCGCAAGTCTGCGTTATCCTCGGCGCTCAATGTCATGCGCGCAGCAATCCAAGGCGAGGCGCGTCTCAAGTCCATGCCCAACAACACCGTTACGATGATTTGCTTTGCAGCCAGCATAGCGCTCGCTCTAAGCGCGCCGGTGCCTGAGGGGAGTGGCAACAAAAAGAGCCTTGCTCCGAGCGTGCGGCACCTGATAGAGGATACGGCAACTGTCCTGGAGCGCATTGGCAGTACACCTATCCACCGGAACGGCGCATCAGTCGTGTATGGTAGATTTTTGCGCGTTTTGGTTAAGCAGGCGCCTGACATTGAGATGCCACCGCCCGTACCTCCTCAGGAGCCTGCACCAACCTCAATGGCTATACCGGATCTCCTTTCGCCCTCGAACATGATGCACAATGAGATGTCGAACCCTAACAACCAGCCCTTGGAGCACGATCCAGTAGGCGGCTACTGGCCGGACAGGTTAGATTTCTCTGCAATGTCCTATAATGAGGTCAATGAGACTGTTACGAACTCGGATCTATTCTCTACAGCATTGCTCGATCTGCCGTGGAACGACTCCAACCCGCTATGGACAGACTGGATGAATCTTCCGGACTTCAACTTTCCCTGATGGCACGGCAGAGATGTGTATCGACTCTCCGCATTACGGGACGGCTGGTCTTGCTCGTGTGACTAGCGAGCGACCTAGTGTGTGGACGCAGAGAGTGGATGAACCTCGGGCTTCGCCAGGAGGACGGCAGCGCGCCTAAACCTCATCCGACCGAGGCGGCAGACAAAGCCCCGCTCCAAGCTCCAAGGTCGCTCGCCGTTCGGCACTTGAACTGGCACCGACGGATCCAGAGATGCATGACGTTAGAGTTGCAATGCCATTGTCGCACGCGCTCCAGGACCCATGTTCGGAGCTCGACTGCGAAATCGTCGCCCGCTTGGATGAGTCGGCATTTGTTGAAACTCCTTCCCAAATGATTTAACTAGGCTGTTCACGCTGTTAATACGTCTGTAATTTACTTCACAATGGATACCCTGCCTGCTTCCTGCCGGCTGCTCACAGCTCTTCCCTCACGGCTATGCGCCCGGCGATCTGTTCCTCCACAATTGCGAGCTGCGCGAACTCTGCCACCACGATGGCGGCTTACAGGTCAATTGCGCTGCATCAGTGAGCGCGCACCGACAATTGACCGCTCGAAATCGAAGCTCTTCAAAGATGCAGACGAAGCAGTTGCCGATGTACAGCCTGGGTCCACCGTTCTGAGCGCAGGATTCGGGTTGTGTGGTGTCGCAGAGACTCTGATCGCAGCGATGAAAAAACGTGGGCCCGAGTCATTACATTCGTTGACAGCCGTCTCAAACAATGCTGGCATTGAAGACGTAGGAGGATTGGCACACCTTACAAAGAACGGACAAGTCAAGAAGCTCATTATAAGTTTCCTCGGTAACAACAAGGCGCTTGAGAAGCAGTATCTGAGCGGCGGCATTGAGATTGAGCTCTGTCCGCAAGGTACGCTTGCAGAGAGGATACGAGCTGGCGGTGCAGGCATCCCAGCCTTTTACACACCTACGGCGGTAAATACATTGCTGCAAGATGGCCAGATTCCAGCCAAGTTTGACAAGGAGGGTAAAGCTGTAGGCTACGGACAGAAGCGCGAGGTTAGAGAATTCAATGGCAAGAAGTTCCTCATGGAGACTGCATTGACAGGCGATGTCGCCATTATCCGCGCGCACAAGGCCGATGAAGCTGGTAACTGTGTTTTCAGGTAGGAGTTGAGGGATCCCAATGCCTTGAACCTGACTGACCACATGAGCAGATACACCACCAAAGCTTTTGGACCCATCATGGCCAAAGCCGCACGCCTTACAATCGTCGAAGCCGAGGAGATTGTCCCTATAGGCACCTTTGACGCCAACGACGTCGATCTCCCTGGCATCTTCGTCGACCGTATCGTCCCAGCCACCGCGCCCAAGAACATTGAGATCAAGAAGCTCCGAAAACCTGCTGCCTCAAAAGACGCCTCATCAAAGAACGAAGCCACCGAACGACGCGATCGTATCGCTCGTCGCGCAGCAAAGGAGCTCAAGCAGGGATACTACGTCAACCTAGGCGTCGGCATTCCCACAGCCGCAGCATCATTCGTACCCGATGGCGTCAAGGTGTGGCTGCAGTCCGAAAATGGAATTTTAGGTATGGGCCCCTATCCTACAGAAGAAGAGGTAGATGCAGACATCGTCAACGCCGGCAAAGAAACCGTCACTCTCCTCCCCGGCGCCTCAACCTTTGACAGCGCCGAATCCTTTGGTATGATCCGCGGCGGCCACGTCGACGTGTCTATCCTTGGAGCTCTACAAGTCAGTGCCTCTGGCGACCTGGCCAACTACATGGTGCCGGGTAGAGTCTTCAAGGGCATGGGCGGTGCCATGGATCTCGTCAGCAATCCCGACGCTACAAAAGTCGTCGTCGCGACTGAACACGTTGCCAAGGACGGCTCCAGCAAGATTGTCCAGGAGTGCAAATTGCCGCTTACAGGAGCAAAGTGCGTGAGCACTATCATTACCGATCTGTGTGTCTTTGAAGTAAATAGGAAGAGGGGGACCTTGACGCTGACGGAGACGGCGCCGGGAGTTAGTGTTGAGGATATCAAGGCGAAGACGGATGCGAAGTTTGAAGTCGCAAGTGATCTCAAGACAATGGAGTAGTATTAGTGTCAGTTTCTGTTGCTTTATGTTGCAGTAGTAGCTCTTTGTACATAGTGCGGTGTAGCGGGTATATCTCCGTCTCCACCTTTTTTCTTTATCTAGCAGGTGCAGGTGCTTGACAGGACGGGTCTAGAAGCGCGCAACGCATGCATATTCAGCGCGTATGTCACTTATCAAGCCCCTTCCCCCAAAAATGAAACTATCGCCCCCCCCCCAAAAAAAAGACACTCTGCACTATTGTATGCGCGTCACCGTATCTACCTGCTCAGCTTTGATAAAGCTAACCAGCCTCTTAAATTCCGGTTCAACACACGTAGCCCCCCCAAAAAAACCCCAAAGTTCCCCAAAGTTTTGACGCGGGGCGGCGGCGCAACCAAACAGAAATGGTAGCCAAGCACACACAAGCACCACGCAAGCGAAAATGCTTCGCCCTCTTGGTTTCGCCCAGCTCCTGTAACTAGAAAAGCTTGGTAGTAGTACACCGGCACATCCCCGCCCTCCCCCCTTCAAAACTCCACACCCTTTTTGTAGCAGTAGTAACTCAAAAAAAACACGCTCAAACCCCCGTATTTACCGCTTACGACATACACACGTCAAGAGTTACTATTGATAAAAAGGTACCCCGTCAAAGCTCTTTGCGTGTGTATGTACTCTCGGTCGCAAAAAAAGGACCGTCAGTTGGCGGGCAACCGGACTTGCTTCTTTTTACCCGCTAACGCACAAGGTCGGGGTGTGGATGTCGTGACGCGGCCAATGAAAGCCTAGGCGGGGAGGGGGTGTGTGTGGTGGAGCCGCCGTGTAGCCGTGCAACGGTGTGCAGTGCTGACTTGCGGTGGAGAAATGCCCCGTGGGGTTGGGGAGGAGGCGCTGGCAAGGGAGGGTTAGCTGGGGTTGGAGAGGGTTATAAAAGGATGGGGGAGGCTGCTGCTCTGGTGGCTGGTTTGGATGTTTACGCTGCTTGCTTGATAACGCTGTAGGCTTTTTTGCTTTCAGTGTGACGGCTTGTTTATTTCTCACACTCATCCCCCGCCCCCCCCCGTTTTTTCTTTCTTTGGGGGCCTCGGGATAGACGTGATTATTTAAGAGTTGGGCATTAGGACGGTGTGGACTGGACCGTGGCTGACTGCGTTGGTGCAATGAGCGTGGATAAGATGCAGGATGAGAAGGTTGAGCGGAGTGGGAGTGAGGGGTTTGAAGAGGGGCTAATGGAGGATGCGAAGGCGACGAGTGGGTTGTTATTTAAGATGGATTCTCGGTATGTATTTTCCTCCCATTTTTCCCCCTCGATATCTTTATCTCAATCCTTGTTTGGAAGGGTTACGTGGCTGACTCGTAATTTTTGTTGTTTTCTTAGCATCCTCCCGGTTCTTGCGCTGCTTTTCCTGTGCTCGTTTATTGATCGCACAAACGTGGGCAATGCAAAGATTTTGGGATTGGAGAAGGATCTTCACCTTACGGACCACCAGTATGCTATTGGTCTTTGCGTGTTTTACGCTACATACATTGCGAGGTAAGCTTTCTGTGTGGCAGATACAGTCCGGAAGACTGACTTTTGGGCAGTGAACTCCCGTCCAATTTGGTGCTGAAAAAGGTATCGCCAAAGATATGGTTGCCCTTTCTCACAGCCATCTGGGGTATTTTGACCATGTGTTTGGGATTTGTAACGAATTTCGCGTCTTTTGCTACTGTTCGCGCGCTGCTTGGAATCGCAGAAGGAGGCCTACTGCCTGGAATGGTAAGACTTTTGGCGATTCAATAATCCGTTCTTCGCTAATGCCTTGCTAGGTGCTATATCTCTCACACTTTTATCGCCGACAGGAGCTCGCTCTACGGATAGGCATCTTCTACACTGCAGCCTCCCTCTCCGGTGCTTTTGGCGGACTCCTCGCTCGAGGCCTCAACGCTATCGGTCCAGCAGGCGGACTCGAAGGCTGGAGATGGATCCTGATAGTTGAGGGCTTGATAACCGTTTTCGTCGGCGCATGCTCCGCCATCTTCCTCCCCAACTCAATCGAATCAGCCGGTTTCCTTACTCCCTCCGAAAAAGCCCACGCCCGGTTCCGACTCGGTGAAGCATCCGCCTCGCACGAACGCTTCGACTGGGCCGAAATCAAACGCGGCGTCTTCAACCTCCAAGTCTGGCTCACAGCCACGGCCTACTTCTCCATCCTCTCAGGCCTCTACTCCTTCGGCCTCTTCCTCCCCACAATCATCAACAACGGCTTCGCCAAGGACCCCAATAAAGCCCAGCTCTGGACCGTCATTCCTTACGCCGTCGCTTCCGTCTTCACCGTCCTCGTCGCCATTCTCTCCGACCGCCTCGCCCTCCGCGGCCCAGTCATGCTGTGTACCCTCCCCATTGCCATCATCGGCTACGGCGTCATCAGCCAATCGACAAACCCGAAAGTGCAGTACGGAATGACGTTTCTCATGGCTACAGGCATGTTTTCATCCGTCCCGTGTATCCTCTCTTGGAACAGCAATAATTCTGCTGGCCACTACAAGCGTGCGACTACGTCGGCGCTGCAGCTTGCGATTGCGAATGCGGGTGGTTTCGTCGCGAGCTTTACGTATCAGAAGAATGAGAAGCCGCATTTTCATAAGAGTCATAGCATTATGCTGGGATTGCTATGCGCGGCTTGGGTTTTGTAAGTTCTCTTCTTCATTTTCTTTTCTAGTGTGTACATGTGGATCTACATTGTTTGCTTGCTGGATATGCGGCTAACGTGAACAATAGGGTCGCAGCGAACGTGGCGTGGGTGTGGAAGATTAACCGCGATAAGGCGAGTGGGAAGTATGCGGAGTTTGAAGGACGAGGAGATGATCGGGATCCGGCGTTTAAGATGGTGATGTAGAGGATTTTGGATCTGGTCTGGGTTATTGTTAGCATGTTGATATATGTGGAGTTTGGGTATAATGTGTTACGCAACGGCTTGGTATTTTTCAGCCTTGTCAAGAAATGATATGAATATTCGTTGGTGTTATTGTAAAAAATGCGACGCCGGTGCTTGCTTTACATGTATCAGCATTATATCCTTTCCATTATCTAATCAATACTACGTCAATAACTCTTTAAGCGAAGTTACGGTCTCCTGTGTAGTCCCGGATACAACATATTTCCCCATGTTTTCACTATCGCTCGCTAAACTATGCTGGGTCTCCTTGTTTTATTCTGATGGATCTTAAGTGATACATTGAGAATTGGTAATCTGACCTGAAGATTGGGGTACTGTGGGTATCAAGACCACTCGAGTATGTGTTTGTGGTGTTGCTTTGTCAGTCATGGCGCATATTTGGTTGAAGGACAGTGCGGAAGTGGACTCCTCCTTCGGTTTTACTTCTGGTACTGAGAGGGTTTGTTGAGCGATCGACAAGACATCCGGGCAGGCCTTTTGTGGAGAAAAGCTTGGTTATGTCTAGGCTGAGTTACAGTGCGTCTTATGTCTGGTCACTCCATCCCTGGAGCAGAAAATAGATTGGCCTACATTCAGGCTGATGTCGTTTGACCCCTTAAAGTTAACACATGCACTGAAGCGGCCATAGCATATATGCGTGCGACATTCACATTTAGCCATAGCAGTAGCGTGGGGGCTAATCGAGTATACATCTGTGCTCGAGTCAACGCCATCCATCTGTCATAGCGTAGGGCTTAGGAGCATGATCTCCTATGCTGAGAATTAAGTTTTACTATTTTTACTCCCTATACGGGGCGCGTGTTCAATGTATGAAACGTGCTGATACATACGCCACATCTACAGACTATCTACAGAATCCATGGGGCTTCCATGCGAGCCGCGCGTCAAGCACGGTGGGTGTGCGCACGTGGCGAAGACCATGTCTTGATGGCTGCAAGGGACCACTACAAAGATAGAAGGGGTCACTTACTTGCGATGCATTCGAGTCGCCAGCGTACCGCCACTCGATTCATGTTATCCGCATCCGTTGCATATACGAGATTTCAATGAGTGGGGATAGTGACACAGCTGCTGTTGCTCAACATGAGCATAACACCAAACGACTTTGTACTTCGATCTACCTAACAATCTTGATCGTCTCTCCACTAATATCTTCTCTCCAACTCGTCTAAGGTAATACCTTGCCGTTAATCCCCCACCATGGGCAGGATCATTCAGGCTGTATGGACATGGCCCTCTCAGAGACCAGACATGGGGGTTTCGTCATCAATACATACATATTCGCTTGTTGAGATACCCTGCCTTAGATCTCGGAAGCAAGATTACTTGGTTGAGTGATTGCCGGTACGGGAGAGCCCGTAGGTAGTACACAATGCAGGAACAATGTGGGTTTATTCACCTATAGCTTACCATTGACTATGGGGATTTTGGGGCGAATTACTTGCAGAGGATATGATCACCATGTATGACGATACAACAAGGTATACGGATGATGAGAAACCCGTGTTCCTACCGTGTGAGTCCGGTCTGATATTGTAAACTTCTTTTCCACTACTAACATGACAATCACCAAATGCCGTCAATGATACTTCTGGCTCATCCGTTACACCTGGTAGATCTGGTAGAATGTTGAAACCATCAGGAAATTTCTCGGTCCATTCGGGCGGCTCTTTTTCCGTGTCTTTGGTTGTACGGCTAACGGCAATTGATCAGCAAACAAGCGTGTTGATGACCCTTGATCGGCTCAACCTATTATGCACAGCCATGCGACTACATCTTAGTCCCGGAGCTTTTTTCTGAATCAACGGCGACCAGGGTCGAGCATTGGTGCAGATAAGCACGATACTGGGATCAGGTACTTTGCAGTAGCGACATTAGACCGCAGCGGCCTGGGCCTTAACTGTACAATGGTGTTTCTTTCTGATTCTGGCGTCAGTTGGTCGGCGATGTTTAGTTACTTTTCTCTAGTCTGACCAGAGCCGAGAACTTGACAAGATGTTTTACTGATGCTCAGTTTCTTCTTTGGATGTGTAGCGCTGACTGTGTAACGGAAATAGACACCTTAGAGCTAACTATTACGTCAACTGGCGTGTGTCTGGATCCTACTCCGCCTTCGACAACAACACGGTGAGCATGACGCAAGTTGGTGTCTTGCATCTGGTGGAGTGATAAGAGCCACGGCGAGCTGAGCATGGAGCTTTGCTAGGCTGCAAGTAAGCAGACACACATTGTCTCTCCAATATTGTGGCGCGCTTCGCTGTCATGCCCATCCCCACAAAGGCGTTTCGGTACAGCAATATCAGATCTTAGGAAATGCTGTTGAGCGTTTCTTTTCTGCAAAGTCGTTCTGCATGGCGCGAGTAATGCCGTGAGCAAACGCCCGTGAAGCCTCACCGGTAAGGTGGCGCCGCAAAGGGTCTTACAGCTTTGCGATTCTCCGCTTTTACTCCAGTTTGCATGTATCGCAAGGCCTACTGGAGTCCATGATTGCCACACTCCGTGTTAGCAAAATCTTTCCGGTCGCCTGCAGGCTGTCGGATGCTAACACTCTTCTACAAGCCACGCTGGAAAGCACACAGCCTTTCAACTCAGGCGCTCCAAAGTGGCAAGATGTAAGCATTGCAAGCTGTACCGAAAAATCGAGGCCTTGATTCAGCTGCACACTTGTACCTAGCTAAGGCAGCCGGCGCATTCTGATGCATATCAATAGTCTTCGTTTGGGACGAAACGTCATGGAAACAGTGGAAATAATTCCAATCAGGCGATTGCATGCGAGTGAAAATGCCAGATTGGGCCTAAGACGGACAGCTATGCACTCTCAGAGGCCAGGGTTATGAGATGGTGATGTTGTCGTCGGAGCAGAAGTTCGGGACCCCTCTCAGAAGTCCGAGACGCCCGCCTAATGCGGACTAGCGCTTATCACATTAGTACAGATCGTCGCGACTCGCTTGTCCTTCTCGAGATCCTTCTACTCGCTTGCTCGACTATCAAGCTTTCCAAGCCTCGGAGACGGTGCTCAACTTCATGGAGAGTCCGGTTCCGGGCCCTGGTCCGCGTGCTATCCATAGTATACCGTCTACGCCCTGTATCGACATGTCAAACTAGTCCTCTGAGACCCCGCTTCATGCATAGCCAGGGCACCACTACTCCCTGCAGCCGCTCCACAGCCTGCTGAAGTGGCTTCCCCAAAGTACACAGCTCAGCCATGCCTGCAGCTTCGCCGACCGTCTGGTCTGTCGTCCCTGGTCGAGGTTTGGAGCCAGCATCGGTATGTCTGGCTGCATTCGGTCGTGTAACGCAAGCAATACCGACATTCAACACCTCCTCAACCACTTGAAATTCTCCGTTCTTCTGCTTAGGGCTGATATGCAGCTGTCTCTCATCCTCACCTTTCCGGGCAAGTGGTCATAATCAGCATCCATACCGTTCATGTGCCGCACGCCTTCGTGATGGCGATCTTGGTATTCTGCCACAAGCCGCGGCTACACTTTGATATGGAGGTATCATGTCAATTACTAGTGGTGGGAACACTCCAACACTAGTCACCCGTGCCGTCTAGGGCTATTGCTCGACCCACTAATGAATCAGGGCCAGTCTGCCATGCTTTAGTTTATATTACTTGTACCACCCATTCTCTAGCACGCCAGCCAGCCTTCACTTTTCTTTGTACATCAGAATCTTGGTCGGAGCTGCATTTGTTGACCCTACTTTTGAAGGGTCCGGTGGCTTTCCTTTGCGATTACGTCTTCTTCTTGAGCTTTCATTACTACATCATGGTCTCTTCAATTTCGAGGGTGGTTACCGCCCTTGGGCTTCTTTTATCCACTGTCACTTCATCTGCCGTACCTCATAAAAGCCTCGCCCCCAGAACACCAGAGGTTCCTTGGAAGAACACTGGTCTCTTCAGTGGACACACCAAACGACAAGGATATGAGACTGCCTGTAATCATGGTCCAGAGTCAAGAGGATGCTGGATTGACGACTTCAACATCGACACTGACATGGATGTTGAATGGCCAGATACTGGAAAGACAGTCAAGTATCATCTAACCATCACCAATACCACTGGAGCTCCAGATGGTTTTGAAAGGCCGATGTTCTTGATCAATGGCCAATACCCAGGACCAGTAAGTCTTGTTTTAAAATGCCAATAATTCCTTTCTAATGAATCATAGACTATTACCGCCAACTGGGGAGATGTTCTAGAGATCACAGTTACCAATGGCCTTGAAAACAACGGCACAGGTATACACTGGCACGGTCTGAGGCAACTCGGGACAAATGAACAAGATGGCGTAAATGGTATCACTGAATGCCCAATCGCACCCGGTGACTCCAAGCTCTACAGATTCAAAGCAACTCAATACGGCACTACCGTAAGTATCACATACTGCGTGTGACATGTTTTCGGAAGACGGCTAACCGCCATAGTGGTATCACTCGCACTACTCCGTGCAGTATGGTGACGGCATCGTGGGTCCTCTGATCATAAAAGGACCCTCGACGGCGAACTACGATATTGATCTTGGCGCTTTCCCAATGACTGACTGGTTTCACGCAACCACTTTCACCGTCAACGCTGCAGCCGTTCATGCAAATGGCCCACCAACTGCTGACAATGTCCTTGTCAATGGCTCCATGACCTCATCTTTTGGCGGCAAGTACGCCGAGACAATCCTAACTCCAGGAAAATCTCACTTGCTGCGTTTGATGAACGTTGGTATCAACAACTACCTTCATGTCGGCCTCGATGGGCATCAGTTCCAGGTCATTTCGGCCGATTTCACGCCCATCGAACCCTTCTACACGGATAGCTTGGTCCTTGCAGTCGGTAAGTTGAACCGAAGTTGTGTCCACATGCAAACCCCTTTTATTTAGCACAACATCGTGCTGTGTGACAACACCCCGGCCACGAGAATGTGGTCGGAAGAGCCATTGTTGATGAATGTTTCACTAACAGCGTCGCTAGGTCAACGGTATGAAGTCATCATCAATGCAACTGAAGCTGTGGGCAACTACTGGCTGCGTGTTGGTACTGGCGGTAGATGCGATGGTCCCAATGCCAATGCGGCAAATATCAGGAGTATCTTCCGATATGCCGGTGCTCCAAATGAAGACCCAGATACGACTGGTTCACTTCCATCGGGCTGCTACGATGAGAATGTTGTACCCTATGCCAAGACGACTGTTCCTCAGGAGATGCCTGAACAGCTGAGCGTGGGCTTCAACCCTAACTGGACTAGCGATGTGACGCAGAATCAGGGTTTAGTACAGTGGCTCGTCAACGGTAATCCCATGGGAGTTGATCTTGAAGTCCCTACCTTGCAGTCGGTGTTGGATGGCAATGTTACCTACGGAAACAACCGCCACGTGTTTGCGGTCGACGAGAAACACCAAGTAAGTCGTCTGTTCTACCTAATGCTGTTTACTGGGTATTAATAAAAGCTCCAGTGGCAATACTGGGTCATTCAACAAAACAGCTCCAACCCACCACTTCCTCACCCCATCCACCTCCACGGCCACGACTTCTACGTCCTCGCACAGGTCGAGAACGCAGTCTGGAACGGAGATATTTCGACCCTGAAGACGGACAACCCCATCCGCCGGGACACGGCTGATCTTCCCGCTGGAGGCTACCTGGTCCTTGCTTTCGAGTCCGACAACCCTGGTGCATGGCTCATGCACTGCCACATCCCCTTCCACGTTGCCGCCGGTCTCGGCGTCCAGTTCCTCGAGCGCGAATCGGAAATCAAGGCCCAAGATGGATACGCAGAGATGCACAGGACATGTGCTAACTGGCGGTCGTGGCGCTACAAGTACCATCCCAATGGCATCTTGTTCCCTGGTGACTCTGGTCTGCGTCGTCGCTGGTGAACAAAAAAACGCAAAGAAAACAGTTCAACCTTCTTTTCCACTTTTTTTCACTTGCCTGGGTGGCTAGTTGTTCTTTACTTCTCAAATCTGTACCGAGGGATGTTTCCCGAGGGTCGCATTCGATATCCCTTTGTTCTTTGTCGTTTTTTATTTGGGGGGACGTTTGTGTCGTCGCTATCATTTCTTGCAGGGTCGTCTCCACGCTTGGCCAGTAATGATAATGCTTTGAATGAATAGATGATACTCTTCTCTCCAACACTATCTCATCCTAACACTGTGCCACCTTGCTCACTCACGTCGCTCGACTGCGCCCCAGTTAGCTTCCCCATGCCGTGCCGTTCCGCATCACGCCAGTTGTCGTCACCCTCTTTTCGTTTGTGTGGTAGATACACCCGCCGTCCAGCTCGGTACCAACACCATATGCAAGCGTGCAGCTGGACAAACCAGGGTTCAACGTACGCACATGCTACCTTAGGTTCCCGCACCCCTGTCGCTGCCCACACGCGTCTATTTTGCTTTTTTGCAGCTCGGTACCAAAAAGGAGACATGTACTGTGCAGTAACGAACCCCTTTCTTTACTGCTGATGTCGTCATTTGTCAGACGAGCAGGTTGGTGGTACGATACTCACAGGGTGTTGAATGGGCTCTTGGTCCCTCAGGGATCTATCAATAGCGTTTTTGCTTTTTTTTGCTTAAATACTTATGGAACGGACGAGGGGGTGTATGGGAGGGGAAACAGGGATTCAGAAAGGCTCATTTTGTGCATCGTGTCATGTTCAGCTTCCGGTATGTACTTAATAGATACTTGATGAAATTCCTTGGCAGAGCATGTCATAGAATGCCGCTAATAACTAATCGACTCTGCTCGTCTTGCAATGTGTACAAAAAGGTGCCATGTGATGAGCGGAACCCGAAAATCTATAAACATATACGAAAGAAAGTATACCTCTCGCTACCTCACGAAGCTGATGCTGAACCTTCAGCGTATCGCTCCTCAGCCCTCTCCTTGCCCTTTGAACTGCTACTTGGAGTAGCCTCACTGTTCATCTCAACCCTGACTTCACTAGCTTTCTCGTCGGTCTGCTGTTGCTGCTGTGCTCGGACGTCTTCTTCTCGCTTCCTAGCTTCCTCTTCCTGCCTCTGCCTCTCTTCCTGTGCTGCCACCCTCTCCAGTCTCTCTCTTTCTTCCTGTGCGTGGACCATTCTCTCGCCTACACCGGGGAATAGACTGGCAACGAAGAGAGTGAAAGCGCGCTCGACTCCACGCAAGCTTTCACGTAACCAGGCGAACCTTTGTTCTTGTCTTTGTTGTAATATTCGCCTTGCTGCTTCCTCGGGCGATATGTTGCCTCGTGGGCGCTGGTTGACGGGCTGCGCAGCGCGTTCGGCCATAGCGCCAACAGGAAGAAGAGCTTCAAAATGACGGCGTACGTAGTTGATCTGATCCTCAAACATACCAATCTGTGCCAAATAGACGATGCCAGCAACAGCACCTAGCATTACAGGCCTGTAAATACCACCGCCTCCGGCGAAGACGTAGACGAAGACAGCAAGCTTGAAGATCAGCCACAAATGTCCGGCGATGTTAGCCATCCGATCGTTTTCTTCTGGCTGCAGTCCATTCTGATCATCATTTTGGTTCTGATTCTGGTTCTGATTTTGATTCTGACCTTGGTCTTGACCTTGAGCCTGTCCAACAGCCATTGGTTGAGCTGTTGGTGTTGGTTGCATGTTAGCTAGCTGATTATGCAGCTGGTTTGTCCCATGTGCCATTTGCTGTCCAAGACCAGCAATGAGCTGTCTGTTCTGTGCAAATTGACTCGAGAAAGTCTGGAATGGTAGAGTGGGCACCATTGGGGCTGTGGTGTATGTGCCCTGCTGATCGAAGAGAACTCCGACCGGACCCTGGGGACTTGACAAAAGGAACAGCTCTGCAGGCGCATCTGTCGGTACAGTGTGTGCCGCATCTCCTGCTCGGGCCTGTGATGTAATTGACGCTGCCGCAGCTATCATGGGCTCCCCTGGTGCTGTATCTGAAGTAGACCTGGCCGTTTCGCCCTCTTGACGATCGAGCACAATACTCAATTCCGCAGCATCAACCCTTAACTCAGTAGCTGAGCGCCTGAGTACCATCACTTCAGGCTCCGTAGGAAGCAACGTCAGAGCCCGGTCAACAACATCCAGATTTTGGTTGACTGTGTTCAGGTGCTGACGAAGTCGTTCGATTCGCCATGCAGGAATACTCAACGAGGAAGGTAGATCTGAGGTGAGGAGCCCTCCACTCTGTGCATCAGAGGCCCCCGGCAGTTGCAACAATGTTCGAATGTTATCAATCTCTCGTTTTGTCTCCAAGAAGATCCTGTGAACACGAGGCAATAACCGCTGATTCTCGCTAGAGAGTGGTGGACGACCGAAGGCTAGTGCATGCGGGACAGGGAAAGTAACGACAGGCGGCGGGAGTCGCGCAGCTATGTTGAGTGGGTTAAAGGTCGTAACTGTCCATCGTGCTCCATTAGGCGCAATACCATCTCGTCTGATCCCTTGGTCGCCGTTCCCAGGAGAATTCGATGTTCCTGGAGGAATTGGTGTATGCGCCCTGTCTCCCGCTGCCTGTGTGCCTTGATCTGGTTGCTCGCCAGTTCGATCTGAAGGATGTTCATCATCCTGCTGTCCTGGCTGTGCCATTGCTTGAGCAAATGTTTGATGGAGCTGTGCGGGTAACGGTATGGGAATGGGGTTCACTTGTCCCGGAAGGCGATGAGGGGGGAGGTGGGGCTGGGGCATCTGAGGTTGTGAAGCCGGTCGTGTCTGTGGTATAGCCCGGAATGGATTCGTCTGCAGAGGGCTCGCGGCTGGGCCATCTGGAACTGCAGAGCGGAAGAGGTGAGGTGGGACAGAAGACGATTGCGGAACAGGAGAAGATGCAGTTGGGGGCAGCTCTCGTATGACGAGGTGAAGGCTTTGGTCCTTGTTCTCACGTATCTATGGTTCTGATTAGCAAGCAAGCACCTACTTGGCCATAGTAGCAACCTACATTGTCGGCGCCAAACACGGTAGTCAGAGTATCTGCATCATTGGCTACCACTCGGCCTCTGTATATGAGGCGCATGCGCTCGGGAGCAGGCTTGGAGGGCACAGCATCGTGTATGCGACTGCGGAGCTCTTTGACCGTGATGGAAGCGGGGAGGCTCGCGAGGGTGATGCCGCCCTCTAGTTCGGCTGAAGGCGAAAGGACCTTGAGGTTGATTGTCTGTTCTGCGTCCGTCATGCCGTCCATGTGCAGCAGCGACTATGTTGAGAGCGATAGAAGGTTCTCGGTTTGGGAGTGGGCGACGTGTTTGTATACGTTGCGTTTTAGAGTAAAGCTCCGGATTCGCCGTCAACTACAACGTCGGTTGCCATGTGCAGTGAGGAAGAGTTTATCAGGCTGTCCTGCCGAAGCCCTGGGTATTACAGATGCGACTTTCCGCCGCCTACCCTTGTATGTTCAAGACGTCCTCACGACATGCGCATGTGATGCGACAGTAAGTGTTGGATGCTCGTGGAAACACCTCCGAACCCACGGCCGCAACGGCGCTAAGCCCTCCCCAGTGGGTACGTCATGGGTTAGCCGCTCAAGTGGATTTTCCCACACCACGCGACGCCTTCGCCGTCATCTTCCCGCCTTGCCATTGCGAATCCCCTCATCTTGATGTGGCCGAGAAAACAAAGGTAGAAATCGCAAATGCATGCATCGTAAACATGGCGACTCCCTGTTCGCGCCAGCTCATGCGAGCTTCCATCCGTCCGCGATTCAATATACCCACACACCCACATGCGCGCCTCTCTGCCCCCTCTCGCACATTCACTTCGACCCGAGCGTCATATAGCGAACAAAATTTCCACAGGAAGGAGTCTTTCAGGTCGCGGCTCAATTCTGCGCTCAAGAACACCAAAGTCAAGTGGGAGCCAATACCAATTGCACTCGGCATTGGTTTCCTGGGTGCGTTCCAGCTATATCGCATACAACGCAGAGAAAAGCATACAGAAGCCGAGAGAAGGGATGCGGATGGCAACGTGGTGGACCAGCAAGGTCGTCCGAAGAAGCGCGAGAGAATAAGACCGAGCGGACCATGGACCGTTCAAGTCATGTCCACCCTTCCTCTCAAGGCATTGTCGCGACTGTGGGGTCGCTTCAATGAGATCGACATACCCTACTACCTTCGTGTACCTGGATTCAAGCTATACTCTTGGATCTTTGGTGTCAAGCAAGTCACCCCAATAACCATCATCGACCCTGTATCTAACTTTTACTAGTCTCTCCGAAGTCTCGGAACCAGATCTACACGTATACCCCAACCTCGCCGCCTTTTTCTACCGCACCCTTAAACCCGGGGTACGTCCTCTGGACCCCAACCCCAACGCAGTTCTCTCTCCCGCAGACGGCAAAATCATTCAATTTGGCACCATCGAGCACGGCGAAGTCGAGCAAGTCAAGGGTGTGACATATAGTTTGGATGCTCTGCTAGGATCTACAAGGCCCAGTACACCAGAGCAAAATGTGGCAAATTCCCAAGTTCGCGCTAGTGAGCACGAGAAAACACCACAAGATGAAGAAGACACTGTGCGCGCGGATGAGGAATTTGCAAACGTGAATGGCATCTCATACACTCTACCAAACCTTTTCTCCGGACCATGGCCAAAGGATGGAAAGCCTGCTGAAATGCCGACGGATCAGTCAGTTCCTTCAAAGCCATCGTCGGAAGCCGAAGTACGTGCCGACCTTGCTTTGAGTGAATCACAGCGCCCATGGTGGGCGCCCGCCTCATTAAAGACACCTACGGTTCTCTACTACTGCGTTGTATATCTTGCGCCAGGCGACTACCACCGGTTCCACTCACCCGTATCATGGGTCGTTGAGTCGCGCCGTCACTTTGCCGGCGAGCTCTACAGTGTATCCCCCTACCTACAACGCACTATGCCCGGTCTTTTTACCTTGAACGAACGTGTCGTTCTCCTAG